AACTCTTGCCCTTATGCTCAGCGACCCTGGAATAAAGATTGCGTGACGTCATCCCGACGTACGCAGATGTACATAATGCACAACAATATTGATAAACCAGTGGCGATAAGATTAGGTAGGGACGATCAGATCTTTATAGCTTCCTGTTCCGGTACTTCAACTCTGCGTATTTTAGAATCCATGTACATTTGCAAATTTAGGCCCAGTTTGAATTCGGCTTTAAGCTCCTATATCCCCTTGAAATTTTGAATAGACAGGTTTTTTTGTGCAATGTCCATGATTTATTATGTATTTGTAAATTTAGATTTAATTTCGGTTCTGTGACTTTCAATTGTATTGATTAGTGATTTTTTACATGAATTCTAGATTCTACGAACTGGCAATGGAGCTGGACTCCGAAACGTTTTCTATAAATATAAGAATTTTTGTGGAAATTTCTTTGCTTTTAATGTCGTACCAAAGTTATATCGGCTTTTTGGCAGCCAATCTATAAAATACCTATATATCTATTAAGTCGAATAGTAATGTCTACAAAATAATGACATGTATTTTGCGCCTAGTCGTAAAAAATCTATCCTCAATATTGGTCCAGAACAATATTGGTCTACATTATATTTCTATAATATAGAAATCAGCCGTGTGTATGTATAACTTTCTTTGCTTTGAGTTCGAGTGAGGCGGAAGACATCAGCATAATCTGTATTGCATCTCTGGCTGCAGAGGCGTTCTTGTGGCGGAGTTAAGGGCCGTTGACGATGACTTCAACAACGAGTCGCCGCTGCACTACACAATCGTCGACGGCAACGAGGAAGCGACATTCGCAATCGACGAGAAGACAGGAGTCGTTACTGTGGCTGACGCGTCCAGACTAAAGGCCTTCTACAAGCTGAAGGTATGTGCTGTTTTCTATGTTCTGCGGACTATGTTCATTGGTAACATCGGCATGAATTGTGGAGGAACAAGTCACAGTTTTCTAAGTCGTACGGATATTAAAATATTTTAATCAAGAACAAGGCAGATTTGATGGAGCTGTTCTCATTTGAGTAACAAAGTTTTGTATTATCTGAAAGCGCTGTAATTGAGGGTAATTTGTGGGAATATATTTACCAAAATAGCTTTAAAAATATGCAACATACCTTCTATATATCTGATGGGAGAGTCCATGTGAGGTTAATTGAATACAGTTCAATTAACCATCTCGTTGGCATACTTAGAAGATCCGATCTGATGATGGATAGAAATAAAAATTAAATTAGTACACACTGCAGTGAGTGACAGAGATCGCATTTTCTCATCCGTCCGTGACTTGAAGTCACGGACGGACGGACATGACGAGCACAATAGCGCCTTTTTTCCAAAAATGATAAATTGCGCTAAAAATATGCGTCCATAAAAATATGCATCACACTAAGCCAAGTTTAACGATAAGAAAAGGAAGGTTTTGCTGCCGGGTGATAAGGAAACAAATCAAATAAATAATATAAATAGACGAAAATAAGTAAATAAATAATTAACGTATAGATGAATCAGCAAATAAAATGCTATGCGATGTCCGCACGAAGAGAAATATATCCGCAGCATTACCGCTGCGTGCATTACGTAGGACGCTATAAAGTCGTTAGTTCAGCTGCTTTGCTTACAGGCCACGCGCTATATTTTCTAGACGTCGCCGTAAACTGAATGAGATTGTCGCTACACAACAGATAAATGAATCTCTGGTATTTTGGCAAATACAAAAACAACAAAAATATTCGCGTAAATATTCAACTGTTTAATGAAATTCAATGGCATCTTCGACATTGAAGGATGAAGAGCTATGAATTACACAAAGTTAAATCGGATTAAAATGTAAGACATAGCTGCCAAGCTTGTCTTATATCGTGAGGGGTTCTCATTTTTGTTGTAATGATTTGGTCGAGGCAGCTATGCGGCTTTTACGATTCCAAATTCCATTATTTACAAAGATTACATTGAACGAACGTCTTATTTATTTTATAGTACAGTTTACTCGCATGTTAACGTTCATTAGGCTGATTCCTCAGAGCAGAAATTTTACAGAGTTTTACTACGAACACACAATTCTTTGATAAAGAGGAGACGAACGAATAGTCACTTATAAGGAACGTCAAATGAATGTAGCTATCCAGAGCTGTGCTGTTAATTTATTTACTTATTTGTTTAATTTAATTTATTTATTATTAATGAAACGTGAAGAATGGAACGATACTGTTCAACGAAAACCAACACATCTGATCGCAGTATCTTATGATATATTAAGTTGCAACATTGCTGTTATATCGCCAAGTATAGTTTCATAATTGTAACATTCACTGGTTCACGAAAATGAGTTGCATCTTCTGCCCTGTTATTCAGAGTATAGACTGATGATAGTAGCACACTCAATCCTGGACTCATACGAATAAGAATTGTTCAATGCTTCTTATTCTCCTATTTAGAGTGAACATTTTATCTCGCCTGCTAACAACGTGGTTTGGTCCGCACTTTACACTATGCTGGCACATATACTTGATTTAGCTGCGTTACATTTCGTTTAATTTGTCAAGGACATATATCTATTTCTTCGGCCATTCCCTGTTATGGTGCAATTAAAAATAATATCAGAAAAATCTCATTAACAGCGGGACATTTCAAATTTCAAACAAAGGAGTACTGCAATTAATGATTTTGCTTCTTAATGAGCCAGTCTTTACACACATTTCTTCAAATATTTATTTCTTTTCAGCTCGGCATTTGCAGCGTGTGTCAAAACACTAGCTCGTAATGAGAGGCAACTGCGGAAATTGGCGGCTCTGGCAATGTGCTCCTTAAAAAATTTCTATTTTTGGGGTCTAAAAGTGGCGCTCGTTAATTACGCAACATTCACTTACAAGTGACGAGAAATATCGCAAAAATTTTACTTTATAATTTTAAAAAATCTCAAAATATGATTTTCTTAACGATTTACAGGAAAATTCGTTCTTTTGCATTCGAGGAGACAGTGTATGCATGTGATATGAGGTGATAGCTCATACTATTTTCGGCAAAATTTAACAATTTTAGTGTTATATAGACTTAAAAATTATTTTTCTTTTGCCTGTTCGCTGATACGCTAAGTCTATCCGCACGTGTATAGATTTATAGAAGGTCTAATTCAATCATGACATGCGCGCTCAGAAATTCACCTTGTAATATACGTCATGATGTTCCTTTTCCAAGATCACAGTAGCATAACTGATTGTACAAAATATCAGAATATATAATCGTTCGACTGCTATGATTACCGTTGATTTTAGTGGAAGTATTCTTCAATTATTATTTAGATCAAATAATAATGGTTGAAAATACTTATTATTTCCATTGGTGCCAACCTATGTCCAAAAGATATGCAATAGAAAAGGACAAAAATTTAAAGAATCCGAACCCGCAACTCGCTGTTTATCTCTGTGTCCAAAACCACTCTACCAATGAGAAGGTAATGAATTACATAATTAAGGAAAGTTTACCTACAAATGTTATGGGTAGTTTGATCGTTTTTTATTCATGCTATGATTGATATAAGCCATACGCTACGCGGTAGGCACGAAGGAAAAATACATGAGGTGTTTTAAAGATGATACTTTTGAGGCTAATGTGACAAGTCGGCGCTTCATTAATGACAGTAATAATGATTAAAGACTCAATAATGACTAGTCGTGTTCAAAGTTTTCCTGTTCAGGTCGTGTAAAACTTTGAAACTGAGACAAATATAATGATTTAGTCACTTTTTAGTGTGTGTGGAACTTTTGGCAGCCTGAGTGTTCTCTTATCTTTTATCTCTTCACGTAACTTGAATACCTTTCATCAACGTATCTCTACATCAACGTATCTCTTCATCAACATATCACTTCATCAACGTATCTTTTCATTAAAGTTAACTTCAATTTTCTTCCTCTGAAGATAATTCCAGGAGTCAATGCTTCATTAGCAGTATAGTTCTTTCCGCCTCGTAATCTTCTCAAAGGCGATGATTTCGTAACGAACACTTATACCAGTGGACAATTTTGGAGCAGATCTTCTATGATCTCCATCTTCAAGCCGATCGATGGCCTGAGGAGATGGTGTCGAGATCGCGGCTTGAGCTTCTGCTAAGGAAGTTAGGGCGCTAAACCATGCAATCGGGCGAGATTTTGAGACGTGTTTGAAGCCCTGGCAAGAACATACCTCGCACTAACTCGATTTCGGGGCGAGTCCGCTGAGCTCGAATGTGCAATTTTTGTTATGTGGCGGGAGAAGAGAAATTTAAGGGCCTCATCAGGTTCTTGATAGGCATTCGTAAAGCGGCAATCGCTTCTTCATTTAATATCTTGTGCGCGGATGTCTCATGTTACAGAACAAAGATTGTGATGTACCGTACGATATGACCACATGAAATTAAGATTATCAAGTCTTATCATACAACGTACACCAAACCTGCAACGAGTCCCGATGTTGTAATGCGCAGTCAAATGTTGTGCACTGCATGATAAACGTTGTGTACATGCTAATTTTACAGCATGATTTACAGGTGCTGAATAAATCAGCGTAGCTACATTTTTGTAGCGAAGCGACGGAGATCGCTAATTCTATGCAAATCGCAATCTGGCTCTCTATGAATCTATGAGGTTCCAGTCGTAGAATTTGCAGTACTCTGGTCGGTCCTCCATTCATTGCACAGAACCCTGCACTTGTAGGGCTATAACGAGATATGTAGCAGCCCAGTCTACAGATTCCTAAAAATTGAAAAAGATTGGTAAGTTTGTTACATGTAATTCTTGAATTTGTTTCTATAACAATTCATAGTTTTGATGTTGTTAGAATCATCTGTATTTTTTACTGGTGAAATTTCCAAAAATTAAAAACAAATTACGATTTTATTTTAAGATTAAGGATTTTTGGAGTCATGGACTAATTAACTACCAACTAGTGACTTTTTGCCCTTGGTATGAAAGAATTTTACTTTGTACTTACAAAAAACATTTTTCTTCTCCTTCATTCTGCTTCTGATATGATTGAACTGCTGAAAATGATATATGGAAAGAAGTTTTTTTTCTGCTTTTGATTATTATCTTAGACGTTCAGTCGCCACCTACACACCGGGCGGCGAACGTTATGCTTCTAAAACTATGCGAACGAACGTTCGTTCATCGATCTTCCGTCGGAACCCTTCTTCCTCGCCGCTCTTTAATTATCGTCAGCCGAGCAAACAACTGGAGTGTTTGCTTCTAGTTTTCGGTTCCTGTCGATAACGAAGAGCCAGCTCCCAAATCCCTGATTCATTCCGCAGTAATGATTATGAGTATTGTTTGCCTTTAAAATTTGTGGAGCTTGCCTAGGACCGATTGCCATTCAAAGGGAAATAAATCAAAAAATTTTTTCCCAGTAATTCATTAAAATTTATATTTCAATTTTTTGATCGTCATTGTTAAATAACGTAAGATTTTCGAATTGTTGACGATAATGCACCAAAATCCATAGTTTGTCAATAGAAATTATAATTAATGTCGTTGGATAACCCAGAACCTCATTCGGTACAATTATATACAGTATATATTTATATTCTCCAGTAAAACCTTCATCGAATTTTCTCAAATTATCTCATGGCGATAGTCGTTTATAACTTCTCAAGACGTATTATGTGGGGTTGCTAGTGTATGTAACTTCCTTCGACTTACTCTATAGGCAGACTGTCCCCAAGTAAAGTTGGACAAACATAAAATAATTTTTGCAAAGTTACGTAAGACTAAAAATTTGCATCATGAATTAATCAAAAGTATTAATGCGCTGAAATTATAAACCAGCGAAAAAATGAAGCATTATTTATTAGCTACCCTGGCCAAGTATTTCCGCAGTTCGCTCTCTGAGTTGTTGCTCGGTTGGCTTGGTGTGCAAGTATGGAAGTGAAGCATAGAATACTCCCTCTTCATCTAATGCATGAGTGCGAATTGAAATTTTCGATGTCAAGGCTGGTAATTTAATTCTTGAATCGTTCATGAGCAAATTTCAGCCGGTTCCTGCAGTGCCTGTCATATAGAGCAGCGAACCGCGTGCCTTTCAAGTCGGCGGTGCGGTGTGGCGCATCCATTGGTTTTCATTCAATCCGGAAACTATTTTTATTTCGACACAATTTTGTTAGGTTAGCCTAGCACCAATTTTCTTATCCTTATTCTGTTCTTTGAACATTTGAAACACTTGATATAATCATAACAACGCAACCCACAAGCCGTCGTGGTGAAAACTGTCATGACAATCAAAATTTACCTTGAATGTAGCAATTTTCATAGTATATTATTACTTATTACATTGACGCTCTTCACAGGTGACAGCGAGTGACGGCCTGCTGTCGACAAGCACCAGCCTCAACATTGCTGTCTCGGAGCTGCCACCGTCTGGCCTGCGGTTCTATCAAGAGAAATACTTCGGCAAGGTTCAGGAAGAACTCTCCAGCGTGACCAGAGTGGCGCTAGTGCAAGCCATGGGCAAAGATCTGAACGAGCATCTGACATACCGCCTGCTCACACCCACGTCTTATTTTTCCATCGGGGAGACGTCCGGGGTGCTGCACACCACAGGCGTGCCACTCGACAGGGAAACCAGGAGCAATCACCTATTGCTTGTTGAGGTGAGGGAACCGCACAAGACGCTAAATATTTGCTTGTTGTGCTTTGGAACTTCAGTAGCAACCTGGAGTATAAAACTTAATTGATTAATATGGATGTATGATATTTCAAGTTACACTAAAATCTTGCACAAATATTTTTGTTTCTTTATTTCAGTGTCGAAAAATCCAGTTACCTTAGTTACTCCTGTTACCAGCGGTATTATTGCAAGGAATTTTTTGTATCTATTTACAACATTCCCCAAAAAGCTTTCAAGCGAGAAGAGAACGAAAGGTTTTCCTTTGAGAGAACGAAAGGATTTTCCTAGTAGATTATATAAACATTTTTGAAAAAACTGCAGGTTTTCTTGAAAAACTGCAAATTGAACTGTAAGAAAATTTTTTCGGCAAAAAATTTACACAATTAATATTTTCGCTCTTCGCAGTTGCCAAATAATTATTGTGCTACATTAATCATTTAAGCAAATCATGATGACCTAGAATTTTTTCAATTTTATTTGTTTATTTTACTTCTTTGAAAATACGGTTAAAAAAACTCTCTGGCCGTTGAATAAGCCCTATTAAAAAATTCTGATATCAATTTAAGGACATTGCTTTTATTTACTGCATGTCAGCATCCGTTAACGAAGTAGCATTTTAATTGAGTGTGATTTCTCAGTTTCTCAAAAGTTCACTTTTTGTCCTGTATCGAGAGCAGTTATTTTTATTTTGCGGTTCATTTCGCCTAATTCATGCAATACTTTCAAAAAATAAAAAAATTGATTTTATTATGTCTCGAATTCACCATATTCTTTGAATGTTTACTCCTGTCACTATATATCACCATATTATTCTCGAAGAAATATACTTCACTAAGACGTTTATGAGTTTTTTTCTCATTCTGCTCTAGTTAACAGTGCACGTTCGAATTTGATCGATTGTAGTGCTAACATTTATGAGTTTTTTTACCGTTTATATTAACGTTTTAACATGTTAACGTTTTAATGATAAGGTTTTACCATTTTAACGTTTATGAGTTTTTCTCATTCTTCTCAGGTTAACAGTTTGCATTCGAATTTGATTGATTGTAGTGTTAACATTTATGAGTTTTTTAACGTTTATGTTAACGTTTTAACATCTTAACGTTTCATAATTTTAATGCTAACGTTTTGAAGTTTATGAGTTTTTCTCATTCTGCTCAGGTTAACAGTGCGCGTTCGCGGGTTGCCCGCGCGTCTCAGGTGCAGGTGCACGTGGTCGTCACGGACGTAAACGACAACGCCCCCATCTTCTACGGCACGCCTTATTTCGCTATTGTCGGGAAAAATTCCAAAGTGGGCTCCAAGATTATCAAGGTTAGAGCATAAAATTCATTCACCAATTTTCAAATTTTAATTTTATTTCCGCATGGATCAAAAACTTTATCAAATCGTTTTATTTCCAACCATTCGTTATGTTCGTTCAACCATTCGTTCGGCGTTTCATTTTTTTAATATCGGTTGCAGAACAAAGGTTTTCGGAGTCTTCGTTTTGTTCGCAATAAGTTTTCGATACCAATGCATGTTATGCTCACCAGCAACGTGCAGCAATCGTTATTGTACGTGACATGCAGGCGTCCAGGCAACTTTTTCCCATCGGACATCTTTGAAAGGCGGTCACTTCGGAGGTCCTATTACAGTTGACCGAGTAAACTGTCGATCGCGAACGCCATGGCCCGTTCCGAGATATGACCCGAATACTGCCCGAGCTCCAGTGAAAAATGCGAAACTATGCTACGCAACTAAGATCGCTGACGCGTGTCGCAAGCCTTGCCATTTTTGAGACTTCAACGTTTGAAGCTACAGACGGCCGCTCAATATCTAGCTGTCCATGCTGCGTGAATTGAAGTCACATGCAGATTTTCGCCCTGCCATATCATGCGTGTGCAAGCACTGTATAAAAATGTTATTGTTGTTTCTTTTAGTGAGAGTTTCTTTGAGGCATTCAAAATAATATTACTACGAATTGTGTGTACTGTCTAAATGCCCAAATGCAGACACTGCGTTCTGCATTTCGCCGTAATCGCGGGCATTTTTAATATTGGCACGAATACGGTTGCGCACGCAACGTTTGCCTGCTACATGTACTGTGTATTTTTTTGCTGAAGCTTCAAAAATCCTTGAAAATATTCGAATACAGCCAACCATCGATGGACTAAATCCCAGTCCATTATAAAAGCTTACCTTCATTAGTTTGGGCATAGGGTTTGGATGGAAAGCATCAGTGGATTTTTGCTAGAGTTCTCGTATTTTAGCCTACGGAAATAACAATCAAAAATTGTTTTGTCGAGCCTATTTAATTAAATTTTTGTCACGATCATCAAACATAGAATCTTTACCTATAATTATACCGAAGATATAATCATAGAGAAATTCAACGTCTTTTTCTATTTATATGTAGCCCAAACAGAAAATGTATTTGCTTAGACTAAAGCGACTTCAAGTTACAGCATCGTGGGTGGAAAGTACATTACCCCAAAAAAATTTATTGTCAAAGTGTTTAAATTTAGTAAATCAACATCCATACGGACTGGGGTTCTTTACGCAAAAAAATTGATTTTAGGTCATCGTTTGAAGGAGCTTCAGTTTCTTACGTACCAATACGCCGACTGCAACGGAGTCGCGTGAATACGAGCGCTCACGTTTCATTAAAGCTTGCCATTCATCACGTCAATATTTATTGGCTTGTAAATCGTTTCCACCTAGGAGGCTCATCATATCAATCCTAAAAAATTGTATTACTCATATATGGGACTTGAATCGTCTCGCTTTTTCCATTTGCGTTCAATGCATTGCTTTCTAATATAAATATCCAAATAGTTAGCATCCATATCAAGAGCTAGACCAATGTTTTCACTGTCCGCTAGATAGTCTTATACTAAAATTTGGAACTATTTCAACGCTGCATAGTATTTTTTATTGGCGAGAAATTAACCCATGCTAGAATAATATATGTTCAGAATCCGAATATAATCCATGGATAGTATAAAAGCGCATATAAATCTGGAATAGTAATTGCAAACGCTAAAAGTATCAGTTACAAAATATATCTATGGTCAGAAGACAGCTCTTGCATGCGATTTGACCCCACATTTCAAAATCAGCCTTCCTTCATCAACAAAATTAAGCTCGCCATTGGGGATCTTATGCATGGCGATGATGTTTACGAACGCCCACGTTGAGAGCCTCTCAACGCCGTTCACTGAAGAGTTTGATTACTTCGTCGAAAGCAAAATGGTGGCGGCATCACATGAAACCTCCAGCGATTTACGATAAAACCTCAACAGGTGGAAGCTCGCGATGCTGATGAAGGCCCGAACGCATTGATCCAGTATAGGCTGCTCGAGGAATCATCCGGCATCGGCAGCCAGAGATTTGGCATCAACAGAATGAGAAACAAGACGAAAAAAAGGCTTGGGCTTAAAAAAAATATCGAGATGTTCTCGATCGACTTGGAGAGCGGAGAAGTGCGGCTCTCAGGAGCTCTCGATCCGTTGTACGATGTATACAATTTAGTCGTAGAAGCCTATGACTCAGGTGAGATTTATAATATTTTAGGCATGACGAAATCTTTTTACATAATATCGAAATTTGTGTTTGCTTTTTCATGTTGAATACTTCCAATAAATGTGTCTGAAATTTTAAAATATAACTTTATGCCTGAAGACTTCCAATTACTGTTTCGGAATTTTTAAAATAAACATTTAAGCCTGTTCTCCAATTCCAATCCTCCAGGCATCCCCTCGCTGTCGACGGAAACGAGCATCACAGTGCGCGTGGTGGACGAGTATGCCCCAGTGTTCGAGCAGCAGCATTATGCGGGCGTCGTGCAGGAGTCGGCCGAGCGTGGCTACGCGGTGCTCAAAGTTTCCGCCCGATGTCCCCAAGGACATGCCTTACTCTATACTCTCTCTCCGCCGGGACCCTTCGACGTTGATTATAACTCAGGTAACGTTGCAAACTTCCACGTCTTATATTCTCGCTAAAGCTGCCAAGTTCAGTCTTAGAATTTAAAATATTCTCAACGTCCACGCTTTCTGTAGGAGATGAATATTCATGAATAACTTCTTACCGGGCTCTGTTATGCAGCGGATCATTAAAATTCTGAACGTAATTATTTGGTGAATGCATGAGATGCCTTTAGATTATGAATTTGTTAATTTATCAGTCTATTCAGATCAGCTCGCTAAAAATTTTAATGTTACTCACAACGTGCACCCTTAAATCTCATTGTTGGTGTACCTCAGACTCACTTCATCGTTGGTGTACCTCACACACACCTCAAAGTTGGTGTACTCTTCACTAAAAACTGCTTGCAAATTGTGTTTTTTGTTTTTCGATCGAGTATCTCGACAAGGTAGTCTGTACTCTGAACATCCTATGAGTCGTGTTTCTGTTACACTCCTGTTATCAAATGATTTGGTGAAATTTCTACAACATATTTATTTGTGGATTTTCACTGGGGTTCTGAAAGATTTATTTAGAGTTGAATATTTCAAAGCATCTATTTTTTACCGAAGGATTTATGGCCTGCCTTAGATCTCGCGTCCATGCAAGGAATGACTGAAAATAGTTGCCCCTGGAGAAATGTTATTTTCAGCTGCAGAATATGAAGTAAACTCTGTTGGAGACATTATAAACATTGAATAGGTGATAATAGTTATGAGTGAACATATGAGTGTTGGATGGACTTTCTTGATTTTCTATGCCTCATGATAATTGTTGCTAATCTGCTAGTAACAGTGGGTAGTGATGCTGGTAAGCTTTAAACATATTTTGAATATTAGTTAATGATATTACATGATAATCCACCTGCACTCGCAACTCATTAGGACAAGAGGAATTGAGTTTCGAGGCGGCTTGTGCCCGTTGAAGGCCAAATAGAATTGTTGTTATACAAACAGCTCGCTGGAGGCCCTTCCGGCTGGTTAGATGACCCATTGCAACATTAACAGGGGTAAATTCCAGGAGCATTACATGCACCGAAGGGACTTGTTTGAACAGCTGTATGGCGTAACAGTTTATTCAAACCTTCAATTGCGCGCCTCGAAATGCGATGCCTCAAATGAAAATGTTATGTATGCATTTCCTAAGTTCGAGTTATTTGCTTTACCTTGCACATTATGCCTCATGATAATTGTTGCTAATCTGCTAGTAACAGTGGGTAGTGATGCTGGTAAGCTTTAAACATATTTTAAATATTAGTTAATGATATTACATGATAATCCACCTGCACTCGCAACTCATTAGGACAAGAGGAATTGAGTTTCGAGGCGGCTTGTGCCCGTTGAAGGCCAAATAGATTATTGTTGTTATACAAACAGCTCGCTGGAGGCCCTTCCGGCTGGTTAGATGACCCATTGCAACATTAACAGGGGTAAATTCCAGGAGCATTACATGCACCGAAGGGACTTGTTTGAACAGCTGTATGGCGTAACAGTTTATTCAAACCTTCAATTGCGCGCCTCGAAATGCGATGCCTCAAATGAAAATGTTATGTATGCATTTCCTAAGTTCGAGTTATTTGCTTTACCTTGCACATTGGTATGATACACAAGGAGCTACCAGTTCAGGTTCACATGAATTCTTTCCAGAAAATAACATACATTCAGGCGTAATGCAATTAATTCCGTAGTTCCCTTGCTCCGATACATTTGTTATGTTTTCTGTTCCTGTATGGCCTCGAAATTTCTTTAGTTTATTATCATTCCCTTCTCGACAAACTTTTGAAATTTGAGAAATATGCACTTCACAAAATTTTCTAGAATCCAGCCTCTAAATTTTTGTTGAGAATCATTTTGCAACAGTATTAACCATTAGCTTCAGTCTATTAGCGCGTAGTAGAAAAAGTGTAAAGTGGACCTTGATGAATGAGAACAGTGAAATCTTACTTTGATATGATGACGTGCAAAGTGAATTTTGCAAAACTCGACTCCACTACTTGATCATGCCCTTAATTTCGTCGATCAGATTTTTGCATAAAAATCTTAGGTTTTAAATTTAAATTTTCATAGCAATGTTTGCCTGTTCGACTTGTTTGTTTTTGTAATGTTTTTTTTTACTAAAATTTGTAATGTTTTTTATTGGGATTTGACTTTTACCGAGCAAACCGAAAAGTTGCATAATTTTCATTGCTTCAGTGTAGGCAGCTATGACTTTTTAATGGAAATGCTTGTAATCATCTTCCATATTATTCAAGCGATCATTTATCGCTAAGTATGTTGATCAAGGTGACCAAATTTTTTAACTACCCTCTCATCTTGATACGCAAAGGCCATAAGTAAGACTATGGTTATTTCATGAAACTGTGAGCATTTTTGCGGATAATAATTTTCAGTTCGCTTCCACCTTTACTATTTAAAAATTAGCATTATTGTTAATTCGCTTGTTTTACAGGAGTTATTTTTAATTTGATAGATTTCTGAAACGGTCAATCAATCCCACAACCACAAACATGCATATGTTTTTTATGCTATCAGTTCTAATCTATGAATAGAGATCGATCAATTAATTTGATATGATTTCCTTTCCAACTCAACACATCAACGCCATTCAGGAGTGGTGCGAGTTACGGACGAATTGGACTTCGAGGAATCCCAGAATTACACTTTAACTGTCCGTGCGACTGACATGATCACGGCTCACTTCGTTGAAGTCTTCCTTGAAATTTTCGTACAAGATGCCAACGATAATTACCCGAAGTTCCATCACCAATACTTTAACCCGAAAACCTGGGAAGCGGCATCACCGGGCACATCAGTTCTGAAGATCTTGACCAAGGATAAAGATACCGGAGACAACGCGGGGGTTGTTTACAGCATCGAGGGGCTCACAAACGACACGGGTCGTTCTGATTTCTTCATTGACAGCAACACAGGACTTGTGAAACTCAACGCCATCTTGGACCGGGAGCACAAGGACAGGCACTTGTTCTTTGTGACCGCAACTGACTCAGGCGTGCCTAGGCTCTCCTCCACAGCCGTGGTTGAAGTAACGGGTGAGATTTTTTTAAATAGAAATATGAACTCTTATTCGTAGTAACTGAGATACTGGATAAGCTTAGATTATACTTGCCATTAAAACGGAATTGATTTTTTTTAATTAATTTGATCTTAATAGCATTTTGGAGAAATTTTTCATCAAAAGTGTACTATGAATTATATTTGATATCAATGAGTCTAATTATCGAATGTTTATTCGTAGAAGTAAAATATCTAAAAACTTTACAACAATATTATTTGTGGAATAAATTATTCAAAGCTTTTCAAACGTGTAATAAAGAACCAAACTTCTGAAGGGCAGGAAGCTGTTCAATCAAAATGAAATCATTACTTTTTGTAACACAGCATAAACAATGGTAAGATTCACAGCGTTCTTGGATCAGGGATAAACATGGCCTAATTAAAAAGTTTGGCGTTGATTCCAAATCGTCTCGGAAGAACTGATCTCTCCCAGCGGTAGTGGGCTGATTTAATTTGAGTGGCAATATAAATTTTCTGCCTGCCAAAAAATTTTGATCATCAAAGCAAAATAAGGATAACATATACACTTCGTAATCCTTGAATAGGCCGAACAACGGACATATTGCAGAAGGATTTCTAATCATGCTATAAGTTTAGACTATCCCGCTGTTGATACTAGTATACTTCCATATTAAAATTATAATTGATTATTCCGATCTCCATTGACGGATTAACGATTGTTGAAGTGATTTCTTAAATTTTCTTGCGCTGTTATTTGACAACCCAAATATTTTGACTCGATAGTTGATGTCCAAACAAGTAAAATTACTATGATACAAATAATTTTACTGACTACATGCATGGTGAAAGCTACAAAAAATACCTGAAACATACTTCCCACGGTAATCAACGGAATCAAATTTTTGTTGATTCCGTTGTACGGGTCAAAGAATTATTGCCCTTAGAAAGAGGGTTTAGAATATTTCGATTAGAGGCAGCCGAGTTGAAACATGCTGGGGCAAAGTCAAAGGCCGCACAGTTAAAAAAAAATTTTTTTTACATTTTAATTATTCCACCTCGCGCGAATCAGCAGCAAATATAAAATATTGGAACAATTTGTTCGTATGACTTGTAGCTGCGAAAAAAAGATAATTTTTCAATCACAGAGGAGACAGTAATTTACGGTCATCTTTTAATTCTAAATTGGTATATGCTCGATTATGCCCGGTATTGGTATCGGGAATCGCTTATGTAATTTATACGAAAAGGTTTCTTTACTTGACAGAGCTTAGTTTTCTTGCTCATGTACGATTTGCGCACAATATAATCGTCTGTGAAATCCACCCTCGACCAAATGCGCCGCTGCAAGTACAAATAAAACCGAAAGGCAAGAAACTGGTTTTCCAAAATTTTCATGCTGGTAATTCCACGACGCGAAATAATCAATTTTTATGTTGCCTTCAATTTACCGCAATCTTATTCACAGCGAGAACCACGACTGTTTTGTTATCGTGCTTCCGCAATCTTCGCGTTTATGTAAGACGTTCTGATGATTGAGATGAAATGAAATACGTTCTGATGAAACACAAAAATTTAATCAAGAGGGGCTTGTTCGTGTTTATACTGTTTAGTATTCCGTAATTTTCAATTATATCTTAATCAGTTATCCACTTTTTATTCGATAAGCTGGTCAGTGTCACCTCAGTACCATAGATCAAAACTATATGCAATGTAAATGAAGTATAAATAAATTTTATTTAATTTATTTTAATACATTATTAGGAGCGAATTGTATAATCAACTAGCCGAAACTAGATTCGACATCTCTGGCCTTTTTGAATTATTCATTTTTAGACTGTGCATGAAATCTGATTAAGTAGTTGATTTATGAGGATTGAAACGAGGTAAATCGAAGTGATGAAGTTGACAGTTTATCTCAATATACTGTGCCTTTTTGTAACCAAATCCCAACATGGCAACAATTGGGCAAGTTATCAAGGTAATAAAAACAATAAATTAATTACGCTGTACCATTGTTCTTTCTACATTAGTGGTTGAATTAATTACTGCCCTATATATTGGCCGTGGCAGTGACGGACATGAACGACAACGCGCCCATGTTCGGCGCTGCCGTGTACGAGTGTCAGGTGTCAGAGGAGGCCAAGCGCGGCCACTTCGTCATGAGCCTCGCAGCCAAGGACCTGGACGAGCCTCAGCGCCACGCACTCAAGTACTTCATTGTGGGCGGCAACGACCTGCAGGCTTTCAGGATACAGCAAGATCTTGGTGAGTTAGAACTAATACAATATTATACAATGACATATTGTATAATATCGAGTCTAACCTAAGGCTAATTGTGTCTAACCTAAGTCTAATTGTGTCTAACTTAAGTCTAATTGAGTCTAACCTAAGTCTAATTGAGTCTAACCTAAGTCTAATTGAGTCTAACCTAAGTCTAATTGGGTCTAACGTAAGTCTAATTGAGTGTAACCTAAGTGTCAATATTTATTATGAGCGCCAATTTATTATAAATGGCAAGTATGGACATTCACTTGTTTATTTTGCTGTACTCGCATGAGCTTTAGCAACATCGTGTTTGGACAAAATTTCTTTCTTCACTACTAGGGCGACTTCTATTGGAAAATATTCCGGTATAGTCAGTTAGTTTATACCTGTTGCCCGCACCTCAATAAACTTTTTCAAAGAGCTCCAATATGTGATTTTAGCTATATCTATAATTAATATCAGTCTAAATCGAAAAAAAGCCTCATAAATTTAAGCTAAGATCTGCAATTGTATTTTTAAAGCTAAGATCTGCAATTCTCATTATTAACATAACCACTGAGAGGAAACTGCGCTCCATCGCTCGGGATAAACTTTCGATTTTTAGTGGTATAAAGTTCTTACGTGTTTTGAATTCAGCATGGATTAAAGTTGAAATATTTTACAGACATATGCTACGATCAGGTACATGACACCCCCAGAGACAAACATCGCCATGTAACGCTTCATGGCATTCAGCGATTGCATCAAAACTCTTCGAATTTATTTGCATGCGTAATGTTGGCGGTCGAATAAGAAATTTCTCGTCTTCTGATCTTTGTTATTCTTTATTTCGGTTTCAGTTCTTTTATGAATTTATTCAATCAGCAATTAAATTGCAAATATTCTAACACTTATAAAAACAATGCAAATTTCAGGACCGAATTAGGGAGAATGATAAAAAGCACCAATGAATTAGCGTTCAATTTAAAAAAAATCAGGGTTATTCGGTATTTTAAAAGGACGTTCCTAATACGGAATTTTTAGAAATTCAATTAGAAAAAAAACAGTTTAACAAAAAAAAATTTCAATTAGATATGTTCTGGCCAATATTTCATGGTTCCTAAACGTCATAATACTTTTATATTTTTTTTATCATGTTTATTAAAGATTTTGTTAATACACTAACGCAATTCTTGTTTAGAATAGTACTGCTTGCCAAAACAAATAGATTGAAGATATTGGGCCGAATATACATGTCAAGTTTTTAATTTCGATCCAAATATCAGTAATCATTGTCTCCTAAAACTTTATCGTTCATTATCATCCACTTCACTGCCGTGAATGAGTTGCATTCTCATATTCGCTGCAGGGGTAATACGCGTTCTAAACGAAGAACAGATGCGCAGCAGATATGTTCACCACCTGAACGTGTCGGTCAATGACGGCGTGTTCAGCGCACGCACGCGTGTCATGATCCACGTTCAGCCGGCGAACAATCACTCGCCCACCTTCAAGAAGAGCGACTACGTCGCCAGCGTGCGAGAGAACCTCCCTGCTAACTCTTACGTCACGACGGTGCTAGCAGTGGATCTTGATTCTGGCAAATATGGCAACGTTACTTACAGTCTTCAGAGCGAAGAAGATCATGACTACTTCGCTATAGGCAGGACGACAGGTGAGTAGAAATAAAATATCTTCAATATATCCGCATATTGCATGCGTGTAACATTTACTTTAAATATGATTTTACAAGTTGCTGTGTATTTAACAGGGATATTTTCATGTGTGCAGGTGTTATTCACACTCGCAAGCCGCTTGACCGCGAAGTGAGTCCAGGGCCGTTGCATTTGACTGTAGCAGCGGAGGACGGGGGCGGCAGGCGAGGCTTCACTTACGTCGCGGTGACGGTGGCTGACGACAACGATAACGCGCCCGTGTTTGATGCGCCGCGCTATAGAGCCTTCGTCGCGGCCAACTCCACTGCAGGCACTCTACTCCTTGTCGTGAGTACATAATTTTCGGTTGTAAACCAAGAATTTAATTCCAAGGAAAACCCTAAAAAATTAAATATCTCAAAGTTTTACTCGCGTTGAATTCTTAGTAAACTTGCGGTATTAGCAAACTATTGATAGGAGTACTGACGAGGTAAATATATAAGCATCTACGTTTAAATGACCCGTGGCAAAATCTTAACATTGTGGGCGCATATCATGCGATTTGCACCACGTTCACCACCAGCGTGAAAAATTTTAACTCTATGCGAGTTCATACTCACATAATGTTTACACTGCATCGTGTTATGAAATGAAGTATTCATTCTTTCCATTATAAAATCTATAATTATTTCTTCTATAAAATTAATTATTATGCGCTAAAATCATCGATTTTTAGCGAATAGATCTGCACATACGCTTTCATATCATAAGTACATAAATTGTTTCGTCCCTGTTCAGTCTTACTTATTAGGGTACCGCTTTCTGTTCGTCTCTCGACTATACAAAACAATATTTTAACTTCAAAGCGACTTTCTTCATAAGTACTACCGAGCAAGCAACATGTTCCGTTTTGATAAAGATCTAAACTGTAACTTTAATGCACTCGCTACTCAGAAAAACATTGCTGCATAAATAGGCTGACTTACAACTTAATCGATTTCGGACCATATAGCCTTCTCGACTCTGAACTCAGATTTTAATTCAAATTTGAAATTATCTTCCATTACTGAAACATAAAAACGAATGGAAACGATTGCAGAATATCTTCAAGTTTATATATCTCGAATGTATTTTTTCTCTGATGTAATTTCGAAGCCAGAGCGATCGAGTGCACAAATACTTGGTGTTCGTTTTCATGCGTTTTTCATCCAAATTTGAAATTATCTGCCATTACTGAATCATAAAAACGAATGGAAACGATTGCAGAATATCTTCAAGTTTCTATCTTTCGAATGTATTTTTCCTCTGATGTAACTTCGATGCAAGAGCGAGTGTACAAATACAAGGTGTTCAGTTTCATGCGTTTTTCATCCATATTTACGTCTGCACATCCAATGGAATCTTCAGAACCTCGGTTTAACTTTGAAATTGCTTAATTAGGCGCTTACGGTGTTTGAGCTCAGGCTGGGCGCTGCCGATTTTGCGATCTTTTCTGGTGATATGAGTGGTTTATTTAAGTGAATAGAATGATTGGAAATGAGCCACTTCAGTGAGATGGGCAAAAATTATATTTTTAAATAGTTCTGCAATTTTTTAATTTATGTCGTATTATTTTTTGCCGTATTTTATCGTTTTATTCTGTTCTTTAAAAAAATATTGCGTAAATCTTAGCTCTATTTATTCCGTTCCTTACTAGGATGTTCGGTCTCATCCATACTCGAACTAGTTTTCAATACTTTATGGAATGATTACTTCTCTCCTCTTCCGTCAATGAAGGTTAGCTTTGGAAAAGTGAATTAGATATTGAGCAACCTGAAATTTCTTTGGTAGTAATTTACATGTGATAGTCAATTAAAGCCCTGTCTTGCTGTGGCTCAGTATTGCTATATTTTAGCGCGAGCCTCATGTTTTGGTTATTATATTTTTAAGGAAAGTTCTCAATGTTACCCCTAACAACGGTAGTGTAGAGGTAGCAATGCTGAAAGCTGTAATATAGATCACATACTTATAAGCTTTTATTTGTTCATTGGGTTGCTGCGCAATCTGCTCACACGTAATATCTCTATGCATTGGCGAATGATTATTATAATTACATGATTAAAAATAATTATTTCTTTCCCCCTCATCCGTTCGAATGATTTCATTTAATTTCAATAGTTTGATAGGCTAGTTAAATTTTTCCAGCATTTAAATGGTATATATTTTCGCTAGCATTTCAATGGTAGACACGCTCCAAGTTGAGTCAAGACATCCGTCTCCTGTAAGACATCCTATCAGCTTGCTGGAAAAACGAGCTGGAACTTGGAGACAATTTTCTGGTCTGTGCGTCCTCGCATGCCCTCGAGTCAGAACTGTCCAAGCGACGTGTTGGCCTAGGAACGAAGGACAGCGCAACGTTGTCGGTGTTGACAGGCGCTTGCGGCGATTTGAATTCCTCTTCTTAGAGGCTGTAGGCTGTATTTATTTGTATTAGTTTGTATTTATTTATATTAGTTTGTATTTATTTACATTAGTTTGTACTTATTTGCAGTAGTTTGCATTTATTTATATTAGTTGGCATTTATTTGCAGTAGTTTGTATTTATTTATATTAGTTTTTATTTATTTGTAATAGTTTGTATTTATTTATAGTAGTTTGTACTTATTTGTAGTAGTTTGTATTTATTTGTGGTTGTTTGTATTTACTTATAGTAGTTTGCATTTATTTTTAGTAGTTTGTATTTTTTTGCGGTAGATAATGCGGGCAGGACTCACCGCGAATTGTGATCAGATCCAGGCAGATAAATGAACTAGCAGGGAAGGTCTAATGCGACATAGCAAAAATGTTCATTCCATTCATTCATTCATTCACATTTCGTGTGTTATCTCCAAATGCAAGCAGTATCATTAATTGGTCTCTGTTGGGTCGTGGTACAAGTCTTGATGCTGTACAAGTGAAATATAGTGGATGCGAAGTGTTTTTATTAGTAGATATACAAATAATTACATGAATCATTTATAAAAAATTCTACATGATAATAATATATTGAAAATATGTCCTTTATTTACATTTTTATTTACATTGATTTTATATTTTTATGCCATTTGCCCATAATCAGGTAACAAATTTCCATTTAAAAAAAGGAACATTTTCCCCGTAGCTGTTTCCTCGCTAAGTATTGCAAGATAAATCGGAAACAAAATAAATTAGAAAAGCTCTTTGAAACTTCGGGTGTGTCGACTGTGTCGTTTTCATTCAAATCGGTTTCAAATTAAAATGAAAGAGACTGCGTGATTTTGTACCAGACTTCAGTGCGGTATGATAACGTTAGATATGCTTACAAAAGTTTCTTTTTTGAATGGCTTCTCTCCATTTTGTCTTTTTGAATTGCTGTATGATAGCGTTAGATGTGCTCACAAAAGTTTCTTTTTTGTATGGCTTCTCTCCATTTTGTCTTTTTGAATTTATGTGAAGGCCACCGTGTCGGCCATGACATAAGGTTCTTCGACGGCCATAACAGTCGTGCTCGCAGCGCGTTGCGATAACGCCTGTCGTGCTCGGGACTTCCTTCTCATCGTCGCGACTTGAACCACGCTTGGAAGCGCAGCTACTCATAACATGGTTTTCACTATTTCTAACCTGATTTTGTAGATGAACGAGTTCTTGCATTCATTTGTTCAGTTATATGCCAAAGCAGAAGTGCACGCTCAATTCTCATCATTTTGAAATCTTTTGGCTACATACTATAATAGATTATTATTTTCTCTGGTGATAAAATTATTTATCATCATAAACAGCGGATCGCGTGTATAAATAAAATTAGCCAAAAAACTCAGTCCTCATAGAACGACGTGTTTCCATATTAATAATTATGTTTTCATTGCATCTCTTAGTATTGAATTTCCCATCCTTTCAAGGAGGAAGCGTTAACATACTTTCATTATAGCTACAGCATGACAAGTGGATCATATATTATTAGAGTAATTGAGGATTAATTTTAATTATTGATCATTCTTTTTTGAGTCATTAAATAAGCAACCTATGGCGCGCACGCTCAAACACGATATTTTTATCTGGATGACGAATTTTCAATTTAGTCGGAAAATCTTAAGCTAGACACCATTATGTTAAAAGCCGAACGTTGTTCTCGTCTTTCTCCACACATTATACATTGCACTCATACCATATCATAAATTTGTGAACTTTTTTAACGCCTTATGCGCGAAAGAATCGTATCGCTCCTTGCTCCAGAACAATATTTTATTCCGTTCATTTCCAGCCCTCCCAATTTTCTGCAATGATTGATGGGGAGCTTCAGGGATTGCATTTTCTGTGCTTACAAGCTTCATCATTCAGCTGCTCGACTGCTCTCCTGTGGCTGTAAACAAATGCTGACAGCTCGCAAAACTCAGACCCAGGCTATTGTTATGAATGGAAACAATGTGTACACAGTGCTGCTGCTCCATAACATTCGTGGATGATATTGATGTTGAGGATGAGGTTCATGCGAACAAACAATGCCTGTAGTATATGACCCCCGACCACATGATTAGCTGATAAATTATTCTGTCCTCGTTTTTAGAGAAAAAATAATCAAAATGCCTCTACGCAGTTCACAAGCCACGACATCGTAGTAGCTAAAAATTTCATATGTGTGTAGAAATACTCTGTTTTAAATTTTTAAGTATTTATTTTACCTAATGCGCATCATATCTATCTCGGAAGATTCTTCTAATGTTTGGGTGTTGAAATTGAATGAAAAATATTCGTACGGTTGGATATTTCTGTTACTTTTTTCGCAAATAATATACAGCAGGTTGTTAATAAGAATGTTTAGCAGGTTGTTCCTCTCCTTACATTCTCAATGCATTACTCCAAGAAAATGCAGAGCACGGCTGTCCTAATTCCGTGGCTTGGTGCCTTCTCTTCTCGCGCGCTGGTTTCAATCAAGCTTTATTATAGCATTAGGTCGAGTGAACATTTTTTTCCAAGGTACGCGCCACTGATCCTGACGCGGCCGAAAACGGAACGGTGCTCTATGGCCTGCACAGCTCGGCTCCCGACTCCGTGCAATCCACCATTTCGGTCGGAAAATTGTCCGGAGAGTTGCGTCTTCTCCGAGACCTTCACCCAACGGGTGAGTACTGCAGCGTCTTATTGGAGACCTGCACCCAACGGTGAGTAAAGCAGCGTCTTATTGGAGACCTGCACCCAACGGGTGAGTAGCGCTGCGTCTTCTCCGAGACCTGCACCCAACGGGTGGGTATCGCTGCGTCTACTCCGAGACCTGCACCCAACGGGTGAGTACTGCAGCGTCTTATTGGAGACCTGCACCCAACGGGTGAGTAGCGCTGCGTCTAATCCGAGACCTGCACCCAACGGGTGAGTACTGCAGCGTCTTATTGGAGACCTGCACCCAACGGGTGAGTAGCGCTGCGTCTTCTCCGAGACCTGCACCCAACGGGTCAGTATCGCTGCGTCTTCTCCGAGACCTACTTCCAACGGGTGAGTATCGCTGCGTCTTCTTCGAGACCTGCACCAAACGGGTGGGTATCGCAGCGTCTTATTGGAGACCTGCACCCAACAGCTGAGTAGCGCTGCGTCTAATCCGAAACCTGCACCCGATGGGTGAGTAGCGCTGCGTCTAATCCGAAACCTACACCCATTTTTTCAACTTAATCTAAATAATAACAATGACATTGAAATAAAATTTTCAAGTACCCTAACTTGAGGTTGAGTTGTCAGCATTAGTATTGAATAAGTATTATATTAGAAATTTGCCTGAAAATGTGGCTCAAATTATATCAAATTGTGCATTCCACAAAATATCAAGAAGTAATCTGTACATCGGTTAGGCAAGAAAAAATTTTATTGATATTAAAGGAATGTAAAAATTCCTCTCATTGCACACTATTCGTTTACGTCGTCGTTAGCTTCCTAGTAACGACCCATATGCTTTATTACTTATTATTATTATTTCAGTCAATATTAATAATAATATTAAATTATTTCAATCAATTAAAAGCGTGGAGCGTCGATATTTTGTCATCAAAATTTTCGAGTTTCCATTACAATATTTTCAAATTATTTATCTGACCATCAATTTTGTCAATCGGTGACGCGAGATCTAATTTTAAATTCCTACATGGTACATGGTACAACTTGCAGTTTTTGTGATAATTTTTCATGTCTGACCTTACAAACTGACAGGGTCATCGAAGCTGGAGTTTTTAGTAACAGCTCGCAACGAAGGTCCCTCGGATCAGAGGAAAGGGGAGACTCTGGTGGACGTGGTCATCTTGGTCACGGCTGGAGAGACCCGAGCACCTTTCTTCACCGCCCCAGAATACACTTTCTCCGTCATGGAAGACGCGGAGCCAGGTGAACGTTACTGCTTCTATTGCTGCACCGAAAATAGAAATGCATTCATGCTATCGGTCGGGTCATGTTTAAATTTATTCACATTGTGTTGGCTGGAATTTTTGCTGCTGAATTGTTGATGCCATGCCTGAAATATTATTCGTCTGCTTTGTAGCTGAAAGCACAAACAAGGCAGGATTCTTTGTGTCTCTTGTTACTTTCCATATTTTTTATTTCTGGGGTATTACAAATGATCATAACTTCAAGTATGCCGTTTATAATGATAATCCTGCGCGGAAATCCAGGGAATGCTTAATCTTAGTGATATTATGGCAGCATGTGCGGCTCTGCTTTCGGATAAAGCTCACTGTTCAACATAAGCATTCTTCATTCATTATTTCTTTGTTAAAAATTAGTTTTGCTCATTCTGGACCTCCTCGAGCCGGGAATAGTGTTACCTGCCAACGAGAAATTCTCTAAGCAATCACCTTCGCAAGATTCATCGATTAAGCTACAGTCGTAATGAGATTTGAATAACAATTTAGTTTCAGTATTCAAGTCATAAATGAATACATGCGATGAAACTTGATTTTCCTCCGAAATGTTTGAATGTACTTTACCGCTTAAGTGCCTAACAATACAATTTAATTTGAAAAATTATTTTATTCTATCCATTTTCTATTCTCAACTTATGGTGAACATAGTATCGACCTTTCATTTTTATGGAGCTAATGGCCAATAGTTGTTCGTACTTCAAATCTTTAAACCAGTCTGGGGATTTATTCGATTCTTTTCCGTAAATATATATGACGTCTCCTTTCACAGAAATTTTGAAGAAGCCTGTTGAAAACAGTAATTATTGCAAATCGAATCCTGCTATGGATGTTGTTTGGGATAAAAAATTAAGTACTCGAGCCTAAATTCATTTGGTTGATCAAAGAATATTTACTGATATGAACTCCTTTTCTTCAAACGCAATAAGAACCGCCAATAGACACCAATTAAATTAAATTTCTGGTCATATTATTGACGATGCGGTAATACTAACAAATTTATCAAAGCGAGACAACTTTCTTTACCCAGGTACTCGTGTTGGCAATTTAGGGATACGTTGGCTCACTGCTGCAGAACATCCACTTTCAAACACGGAGAAGATTGTTTACTCAGTTCAATGGGGCTTGGAAAATGAGAGTCCGCCGCTAATGGTGACGACTGACGGCTCACTGCAACTCACTACAGTTCTGGACGCTGAGCGCAGAAGGGTTCTCAACGTGATAGTGACTGCCGCCGTTAGCTCTGCGTCGGACTACACTAGCATGACACGTGTCACTGTCATGGTGAGTTACACGCGGTTATTGCGTTGGTGGACTCGAGCAAACAAGCCTACGGAATTTGGTCCTAATATTTCAGTATCTATTTTTAGTAAACCCGGGCTGCCGAGCTTGTTTTCAGTGAGAATATTGTAATGCTGGCAAGCATTTTTAAAGCTCAAAAAATCACGTAAAATTGCGCATAAAATGATTTATTTTGTATTATTTACTAGCTAGTGCCTACTAGTGCATTAAAACTACTTTAAATCTTCATTTGTGAATTATTTTTTTTTTGAATTAATGGATCAATTATTCATATTCTTTGTGTTTGAGAAGAATAAGTTTTTGATGACGTCTGTTTGATTGCTAACCTGTTTTCACCATTGTTATGATATTTATAGTCCGTACTTTCTACGGTTGTGGGCCTATGAATCGCATTCATATGCGATCCAACGATAAAAAATATTTATCACTCCCATTTCAGAGACCGATCGAATATATATTATCGGAAACATGTTTTTGTATTACTCCACTCGTCAGGTTCTGGAGTGTTATTCCTGTAGCATCATAGGCGTAAACATTTTCCCTGATGACACTTTTTAGCGCATTTTCTTATTTATGGAAAAAAATGCACTATTGTGCGCGCCATGTCCGTCTGTCTGCCGTCTGTCCGTCCGTCCGTGACCTCGAGATTTCGTCAACGAGAAAATGCGCTCTCTGTCACTCACTGCAATGAGTAATGAGTTATATTTTTTAATATACTGTAGGTTGAAGACGTCAACGACGAGGTTCCAGCGTTTGACCGTGCCGAGTACCACGCCAGACTGCCAGAGAATACGCCTCCAGGCAGCAGCGTCCTCAGAGGTGAGCACAAGTCACTTATCAAACACCACAGGCTTCCTGCCTGATGTTGGTCGTCTGCGTGGCTCTGCCTTTGCCTTTGCTCTTGTTTTTTTGTACGTGGCTCTGCCTTTGATGATCGTGGCTTTCATCTCTACCCGTCAAGGATTGAGCTGCAAAGCCCTCTGCTAGCACTCGCCCTTGTATTTTGGTCGAAGTGATTGACGCTTTCGCTTCAGGAGTGCTCAGCTCAGGCACTATTTTGTTTCGATTTATGCATGTTTTTCTTATGTTAACCGGGGATGATTTATTTTGAGAGACGTTACGCACACGTTACGACGCTACATTATTTTTTGAAATTGCACTTATTATAACTGAAGAGTAATGAATTTTTGGGATGTGTCAAAATTTTTTCGCAATAAAAAAGGCATGTAATTGGACATGCCATCGATCAAATTATGAATAAATTGGATCGCAACATTGCAGGATAAAGAAGAAATTCCAAATTTGTCATTAAATTCACCGATAATTTTTTGAAAGTTCACGCCTTATTTGTCTTTACTCCTTTCTTTGCATAAATGGAAATTTTTAGTTTTCGTATGTGAGAGGGCAAAAGTTTCGCCTGCATTAAAATAATAACTCATTCAATCATCGAAACATATTTATTAAAGTCTAATATTTAACGTGCTTCTTAAGAAATTAATTGAATAATTTAAGACTATAAGATATTAATTTAAAAAATTAAGAAATTTAATTATTTATTAATCCAAAATTAATTCATTTTCTTTAGTCAGACATTGACTTCTTCTGCTTACCTCATTAACAACTTGAGTGCGTTTGGCAGTAAAGAACATATTTCTCTCAGAGATTCTGCAGGCGACTGTAAATTAGGTGCTCGTTCATATTATATTAACTAATTTCACACCTCTCTTCATTCACCAAATAAATAGGATTATAATAGCTGACTTAATAATAGCTTCAATAGAAAAGTTTTGTTGTTGCGGGTTTTAATCGCAAATTTATTCCATCTCATCAACCCATGCCAATCATCTAGTTGTAGCCCCCATTTCCCCTTCTGTCGATTATTTTCTAATCGAAGTCATAGTAAGGAAAATGCTGAGCTTACTTGAGTATTTTAAACACATGCTCGGTTGAAACACGCTTGTTCACTATTTCTTTCATAACTCTTGGCTAGGTTGAACTCATTACGAATGCCGTCTTGTTATATAATTATCGTTATAATAATTATCCAAAATTCCATTTTGATTTTATCTAAATTGAATAAGGCAGGGTTGTAAGTTTGAGGTTCACAAAGCTGCTTAGAAATATATTAAAAGGCAAAACTCTCCTCCGTTTCGTTCATCGTTCTCTGATGCATGTTCTTGTCATTCTTTCGCTATTTGAAGTGTGCACTTAACGGTGTTACTCGATTTGAATACTTCACTCTTGTTCAATTACTCTTGATTCCTGCAAATTATTATACACAAAATTACATACTGTGAAAATTCCTTTGACCTTCAGAACCGCAGTGATTTTCCAAAGAAAAATTGCGCCGAGGGAGAAGTGAGCTGAAAAAATATTGTTTCTGTCGTATGTACTCGGAATTAAATCCCGATGGAGATTCCGTTTACTCACGCTAATAACCACTCTGCAGTATTAGTCATTATAATTCAAGTTTTTACAATTGTTTTTACAATTACAGTTTTTACATTATACGGTTTTTCATACCGAAACGTGAATTGGGGTATTGAGGATTCATACACGAAGTGTCCTTCATAAAACTTTTAGGTAAAATCAAGACGCGATATTTGCGTCATAATTACGCTCGGGAGAAAAACTTGCAAATAGAAAATTGCGTGCTTCTTGAAAATTCTTTATAGACGCTTTCATTTTGTAATAACTGCAATTATAGTTGCAAATTTATGAAGGTATTGAAATTTTATGACCGTAAATTTGTGTTGTGCGGTACAGTGATAGGCAGAGACCGTGACCACGGAGCCAACAGCGACCTGCGATACCTGCTGCTGGAGGACGACGCGCTGCTGGAGGAGGAACCCCAGTTCACCGTGGACCCGTACTCGGGCTGGATTATACTCAACACCGAGCTAGACGCTGAAACTATCAGCACCCATCATTTGAAGGCATGATCTTAATGTTATTTTGTTATATTTTATAAGTTACAGTTTGGTTATTTATGTTGTAAGTCAAATCTCTATTTCAGCTTCGTTATCTTATCCAAGCTATCATCTAAAGCCTGCCCAGTTGAATGCGTGTACCTTTCTTATTTAATTCTCTTATCACAGTATTAGAAAAAAATTAAAAATTTATCTAAGAATCTGTCTACTTAATAAATTAGATAGCGGAGACAGCCAAAAACATTGAATATTATTGTAATGCCCATACATCTTATGCTTACTCATGTCAGATACTGAAGTTGTAGAGGCCGTTATTCCACTTGTATATTACTTTGCGATAAGGTCGATGTTATCTCATGACGCCTATCTCAGCAGACTAAAAGACACGTGAATTTAGCACATTAACACAAATGTAATTTACTCCTTTTTAGTCTATGTAAGCTCATATTCATTGATTATTTTGGAACTTTCTTTTGATCTTCAACTTTTAGATGAAGAAAAAAGTCATGANCACATAAATAACTCCTTTTTAGTCTATGTAAGCTCATATTCATTGATTATTTTGGAACTTTCTTCTAATCTTCAACTTTTAGATGAAGAAAAAAGTCATGAGGCTCGGGTCGCATGACTTTAAAAGTTGTTATTTAGTAACGTCTTAGTTTTTCTAATTAAGGTTAAATTAATTTTACTGTTCGTTGATTTTGTCTCACAGGTTTTCATTGAATAAGATATATTTTGCTATAACAACCTTGATTTATAGTGCTTCTTAATTCTCTTTCAATGGTGCAGTGAAGAGGATTATTACCAAGGAGATATGTCTTGAAGGCCACTTATATTCATCTTGTCGGAAAGAAGATCGAGTTAATTTTCTTATTGGTAGCAGCCGTGCTTACAACCAATTTTATCGATCACGTGCATCATAGTGCGAAATTCTGCTGGAATTACTATGATTCCGAAGCTATTGTAATTTATATTGAATTTCATGTTTAAATTGATTATCAGTAAATGAATTTAATCGGCTTGCAATTTAACCTATTTCAAAAAAGTCCACCATCGAGAAATAGGACGAGAATATAAATTAACTCAACTCTCTGGCTTCAAACTCCAACTTCGTTTTTGTTTTGCACAAGATTAATTAGTGAATTTCACTACGGTCAATTTTCGGCTTGTTGATCTAGGAATTTGGCTAATACGTGCGCACATTTTTCCCGAGAAAAATATCTTTCAAGATTCCAACTCATGAAGTAATCGGCATTCCGTGCTTCATCTTGCTAACTTTACCGAATAATTTCTTTAATTTTTCTTCACCAAGAATTAGCGCAAGTCATAATTTTTCTCTTAAATTCGCCATTCCGTGAATTCTTCGAGCCAACTTGAATAAGTTTCCAGCGAGGTTTGAGGCAACCGAGAGTTTTGCATAGGAAGTTTTTAATATGAGGAGAAACTCTGAGTCTTAATCTCAGGTTGAGGTGTGGGATAACGGGATAACAATTTCAGGTCGAGGTGTGTGATAACGGGATAACAATTTCAGGTCGAGGGGTGTGATAACGGGATAACAATTTCAGGTCGAGGTGAGTGATAACGGGATAACAATTTCAGGTCGAGGTGTGTGATAACGAGATAACAATTTCAGGTCGAGGTGTGTGATAACGGGATAACAATTTCAGGTCGATGTGTGTGATAACGGGATAACAATTACAGGTCGAGGTGAGTGATAACGGGATAACAATTTCAGGTCGAGGTGTGGGATAACGGGATAACAATTTCAGGTCGAGGTGTTGAATAACGGGATAACAATTTCAGGTCGAGGTATGGGATAACGGGATAACAAATTCAGGTCGAGGTGTGGGATTACGGTATAACAATTTTAGGTCAAGGTGTGGAATAACGGGATAACAATTTCAGGTCGAGGTTTGGGATAACGGGCGAACACCGTTGAGCGCAGTGACGACTGTGGTGGTGACGGTCGTTGACTGCAACGACAACCCGCCGGTGTTTAACAATTCCAGGTTAAGGTGTGGGATAACGGGACAACAATTTCAGGTCGAAGTGTGGGATAACGGGCGAACACCGTTGAGCGCAGTGACGACTGTGGTGGTGACGGTCGTTGACTGCAACGACAACCCGCCGGTGTTCTCGCCATCGGTCGCTGATGTTATCAACGGTAATCGCATGCATGCAATTATTTGCGTAGTTTTTAGTTATGCTATAATTAGCAAATACTTCTCTTCGCTCCTGTATTTGGTTTCGGCAGGGCAAATATCAATTATTATTATATAATTTCTTTATAGTGACCAAAATGCTTAATAAAGTTAAATGCTTATGTTTCGATGTTGATAAAAACAAATATATAAACAAACATGCGGAGAAAAAGAATTTACCTGCAAAGCTGCAGGTAAATTCAGCAAATGATTAGACTCATCTGAGGCGATTTTTTAGTATCGTTGAGGCTCAACCTAGGATCGCAAAAATTGCTGGCCGGAAATTGGTCTGGAGATCTTGATCGCATTTGTGCTCTACAAGCAATCCAATTGTATAGGTTCTGTTCCATGTTTGCTGCGCCGGAGGATTATTGAAGGGAAGCACAATCTAGAAAATTTGACAAAGGTTTTTGTTGTACGTGCCTTGAACATAAACAAAATTTATGATTAGTAAGATTTACGAATTAAGACTGTTTATTGATTGATTAGTATTCGAATACGTGTTGGGTCTTGGACTCTTGTCTACAAGTTATACAGCATGAAATATAGAAAACTCATTTGAAGCAGCGAAAAGCTTTAAAACATTCTAATTAGGTTTATCATCAGACCCTAGAAAAATGCTGCTTTTTAACTATTATTAACTTTATGAATGTCACTCGCCAAATGCAGGAGGAAATCATCCATTGTTAGTCATCTGTTCGAATTTTCTCGTCACTCTTCCGAATGCTGACGTCTAGTTAATTTGAACAAATTTTTTTTGTCAGCCTTTGGTGAAAAATGTTTCTTCACCTGGATAAAAGGAACCATAAGTTCCATCACAGCATAGGTGCCCACAAGTAACATCACAACATAAGTGCCTATAAGGTGATGTCACTTATAAGGTGATGTCACTGTCATAGTTGATGTCACTTGTGGGCTCCAAAATTTTGGAGCCCACAAGTGACATCACAACTCACAATTTTGAGACAAATAAGCATATAGTTCAGTTTCCCTAATGCTAACTTTATCGATTTTAAAATCCGTCAAATTTCTACCCCCAAGAAACATTGTACATATTTCTGATATACATATATAAGTGGAAATTTTTTGAAGGCATCAGGATGTATAATGATATCGTTTCTGATTGTGCACTTATTCCCACCAGAGATCAGGCTGGGATGTGCTTCTGACACCATAAGTGTTCAGTACATTTATTTGAAAAACACCCTCCCATTCTACATAACTGTACACCCTGCATGGTATGCACAGCTGGACTGCGCTTAAAGTGCTTCGTCTGTGTCATGTTCCCAGTGAGCGAAGACGTCCTGGTCGGCTCTGTCGTAAGCGACGTCTCAGTGACGGATGCGGACACGGACTCCTCTTACCGCCAGTTCTTCATCGTAGGAGGCAACGAGAGGCAGGATTTCGTCATTTCCGCGTCCGGCCAACTGATGGTCCAAAAACAACTCGACAGGGAAAAACAAGACAATTATGCTCTGGAAATTGCGGTCTCTGACGGACTTTTCTCGTCTCTGGCGAAAATACAGGTTGTCGTCACTGATGTTAACGGTGAGGCATGGTGACTTGACTGCAAGTAGTGCGTTGGTAGCCATTCCTTATGGTAGTTTATATGAATGATTGAAACATTGAGTCATTATCGGAATGTGTGCTTTATTTATTCGCTTAAAAATGCTGATATAAATTTGTAGGCAAAGAATTTTATTAGTAGAGTTTCAATTAACTTCATTGTAATCCAGTTGAACTGCGTCCTTTTGAAGTTCATTTCTTTCCGATGAGTTTGCTAAGTTGAACACCAAATATTTTTGCACAATAATTAATTACTGAATTGTCATTGTGCTACAAATGTGTTTCTGAAGTCGGTTATTGTAATTAATTTTTTTCTACTCACGTCTCTATTGTCGTCGTCTTTGATTCTGTCGAAGCTTGTTAAATTTGGCAGCAAGTCTATATATTATTTCACAATTTGTGTTAGTCTTTGTCAGAGATACCTTTAAAGTAACACATCACAGCACGAATTTAAATTGTATGCATATTTTTTGATGCAGTGCTTGATTTTCTTGCATTTTTTTGACAACGAACTTCCTTAAATATACAAGAAACATGTTTTAGTTTTATTCGTCGTCAATGTTGAAGAAGTAGATAAACATATCTCGCTTGGAAACCTTGCTTTATCCTTTAGGATATCGAAACTTTTTCTTTAATCACACGTCACGCACGATAACGATAAACATGTCACACATCGACACATGTTAACGATAACATGTCACACATGTTATCTATAAACATGTCACACATGTTACCGTTGGACATGCCACACATGTTACCGTTGAACATGTCACACATGTTACCGTTGAACATGTCACACATGTTATCGATAAACATGTCACACATGTTATCGATAAACATGTCACACATGTTATCGATAAACATGTCACACATGTTAACGATGAACATGTCCCACATATTACCGATAAACATGTCACATATGTTACCGTTGAACATGCCACACATGTTAACGATAAACATGTCACATGTTAACTATAAAAATGTCACACATATTAACGATAAACATGTCACATGTTAACGATAAACATGTCACGCGTCCCGCTACATAACATAATTTATCGTGTCCCCTGTTAAACATTGCACCACGTGGTCTACAGACAACCCGCCCTTGTGTCGCACGCCGTACTACGAGCACGTCGTGTCAGAGGGCGCCTCCCCCGGCACCCTTCTGATGCGCGTGGATGCGCACGACGCAGACCTAAACGCCAAGCTCAGCTACCACATCTCCGGCACCGGCGCTAACAGGTTCTCCGTCGATCCCGGCTCCGGTAATTTGTCCATCCTCAAGCGCCTCGACAGGGAAAAGCACCGCGAATACTTGATCAAGGTAATTATTGGACGTACTTTTTATCATATAGTTCGCGATAAAGTTGATTATTGGACTCACTTTTTTACAACACTTCTCTTTAACTTCACTTCTTGTTGTTTGTTTGTTTGTCTGCTACAAATCTTATTATCAAAATTTAACACAATTCTACTTATCCTAAGGATCTGAAATTTTGCACATTAGTGTAAAATTGGAGAAATGCATGAATCAAATGACAAAAAAAATAATTTTAAATATATATATTTTTTCAATATTAAAAGAACTGAAAAAATAATTTTGTCATCTACAAATCTTATAATTGATATTTGACACACTTTTACCTGTCCGATTGATCCGAAATTTTGCACACTTGTGTGAAGTTGGAGGCAACGCATGAATCAATTGACAGAATAAATACCTAATTTTGAAAAAAAATTATATATTAAAAAATGAAAAATAATTTTTTTTAATATTTGAAATTGAAATAAGAAAATCATTGTACATCTGTAACGTTGGAAACACTGGATTCTTTAGAAGTGTTGTCTTTAAAAAGTAATTTTTAAGCGTATATTATTATCATACTATTGGCGATAAAGTTGATTATTGGACGTACTTTTTTATCATACTATTCGCGATAAAGTTTATTATTATTGGACGTACTTTTTTATCATACTATTCGCGATAAAGTTTATTATTATTGGACGTACTTTTTTATCATACTATTCGCAATAAAGTTGATTATTGGACGTACTTTTTTATCATACTATTCGTGATAAAGGTAATTATTGGCCTTACTTTTTTATCATACTGTTCGTGATAGAGGTAATTATTGGACTTACTTTTTTATCTTACTGTTCACGATAAAGACAATTATTGGACTTACTTTTTTATCATACTGTTCACGATAAAAATAATTATTGGGCTCACTTTTTTTATCATACTGTTCACGATAAAGATAATTATTGGACTTACTTTTTTATAATACTGTTCATGATAAAGGTAATTAATAGACTTACTTTTTTGTTATAATTCTCTTTAGCATAGGGAGGAGCGACGCTGAATTCATATACATCTCAATCGAAAAATGAGGTTTTCTAGCTCGCATATTTTCATCATCGACGTCAACGTTCATTAATTCGCATTTCCTTTTATTGCGAATAAAGGAAAAAAATCAGTCAGAACTTCGATCTATTCCTTTTAGCTATTTGGCAATGCTTACGTTAAGCATGTTTACGTGTATTTATAAGCGACCTTAATTGTAGAGCTACTCACTACTGTGAAATCTTATTACACTTCCATTTTGGTTTTATGTGGCTTGACTTCTGTTAATAGAGCTTTAGTCCTGTTATCAGAACTTTCGATCAGCCGATGAAAAGCCAACTCCTTTCAAGTTATCTTACATAAAATTTACCTGTTTAAAACATTTGGTATTATGGTCCAATTTTTATTTCTAATTTGTTACTGTTCTCAAAATATTCCTGACGTAAAATATAGCTGTGCATAATACTGTTTCATGCGGTTCAACGTGGTCTTCAGATTTGATCGTCAGTTTCGTCATCACAATATGAATAAAACAAAAAATGATCGTTATCAACTCGAGCAAACACCATGTCTTTGAAGCGCTTAATTTACGACGGACACAAAAGAAGGTGTGCTGAACTATAAAACTGCATGTTGCTCAGTAACGTAAAAAAATTCCGTCCAATATCCCAGCTTCTTCTCTGCAAAATCAACCAACACTATAACAGGAGAAAGATCCGAATGGGCCGTTTCATAATGAAGGAAAGATACTTATTTGTTTGAGGGTTCTGTGTCGATATTAAAGCGTTCACAATAATTCGGTCTCCAGATGCGTCTGTTCTGATCTAACAAAGGATGAAATCTAATTTAACTGCACAGCCATAAACCTTTTCCGCAATAATTCTTCAGAATCATTTTATATACAAACGTTTCACAAATTTCCTCGCGTTAATGTCGCTCCGAGACTAATAACTCCAAGTAATAGATAGAAAGTTTCAATTTGGCTCCTCGAACCTATTAAGGGCCCACAGTAATGAGCTAATACTTTATGAAATATTATTAAACTCGCCTTTGATTATTAATTGAGACTTTAACTCTCATGACTTTTCGATGACTCGATGAAAGACTCTCATTCCATTGCGACGCTTGAAGTGGCAATCTGTGTGTTGTTTCTCGCTTCAGGTCCACAAGAGGTGTGGCCACATTAATGCTAATGAGTTTTCATTAAGGGGATCGAGAGAAGGCTCACGATTCCTGCGTATCCAGTGCTAAAGTTTCCCGTCTAATTAAGAATTATCGCTAAAGATCCGCTAATTTCCAAGTTTTTCGTTTTTTCAAGCCTCTTCATATTCTGCAATTAATTGGTGAGGTCAGGCTGGCATGGTTCCAACTTCTAATGAGATCTTCCGCCCGACTGTTATGCTACGTCTCGTTTGCCGGAAAATAGGGAATAAACTTGCGCATTTTGTTTTAATTTTCTTTTCTATTCTTGTTTCCCGCTTATTGAACCAAGTTCCACATAAGAAAATTACATTGTGAGTTTAAAAAAGTTTGTTAACATAATAAATTTTGATTAATATCCATTTGCAACACATATTGAGACAAATGTTAAAATCCAAGGGGACTTTTTGCTATACTGTCCTTTAAAAAGAGGGAAAAATCATCTTGCTGAATAAAATTTTGTATCATTCCGTTTATGAACGCTTGCATGACAACTTTGCGTGGTTATGGCCAATTATTATTTGCATTTAGTATTAGCCAAATCCAGCCAATGCTTGAAAATCTCTGGTTTGACTATTAAGTTTAGATTGTCATTTGTTTGTTTATTTACTTCACAAATATTGACTGGTTGGAACCACATCTGAATTTGTGTCAATGGAGAAATTTTATTTCGGTATTTGGAATTTCATTTTTTTGAGCCGTTATAATAAATTATGTAAATTTTCAATTAGTTAGAAAAATTTCACGAGTTTTCTACATGAATAATCTCGGATTTCGATCCAATCTAAACGTGTAGAATGTAGAGAATTCCTAGAATATTTTCAGGCTGTAGAGCTTCTGTTGAATAGAATAACTTTGGAAACCGTTTGCTGGCACTACGGACTACACTATTAATCATGGTGGCGGAAATATCCAGAATAACACAAATTAAATTTTAAATTTCAGCTACATTTTACATACATTTTTCAGCTACATTTACTTATACTCGCATGTCCTTAGAGCTTCACAATGAAGATGACTGTGATAAGAAATAGGTTCCATCTTATGAAGCGAAACTGAAAATTAATATTATTCAGAGCCTACACTCTTTTAAATTCGGAAAAGAAGTCTTTGAAGTGGAATAATGATTATATTTTTTGTTTCAATGTCATTATTACCAAAAGGACTTATAACACGCTTTGTATCGACACATTCGGTGCCCACCATCGAAAAAAGTCCCCTTGGTTCTCGTCGAGAGGGCCTGACAAATCTCGGAAGACATGTGAACCAAGCCCTAATATATATATATAATTAATGACACAGCCAGTGACGCAAACGCCCGTCACACTGTTCATATTCTGTAAGTAATTACGAACAAAACTCTGAATATAGCAACCAGATAAATAAAAATTTCCGAGAAATTGAAGGCTGTTATGAAAATTAGCTCATATGTACCGTAAATATAATATATGTACCGTATGTTTAATAACATTGTAATATCCACGAATTATACACAATGCTGGAGGAGAGACTGATTTTCAACCCCTGATGGCTCATGGTATTATTTTGATGCTAATGAAAAGTGATTTGTTGTTTTAGCCCCAATGCAAGTGACATGAAAACATTCACTGAATATGAAACTTAGAATATCGTTACTTTATTACAATTTAACAGTTCTCTGTAGTCTCATGATTGAGACAGAGCGTCTAAAATTATTCCAAAAATCGTTGCCATCTTTCCCTCTAAAATTATTTAAGTGTGCTTGCAGAGCTCTTAATTGTATGTCCTAAAACGTGTGATTTTTTAAAGTATGAACCTCTTCTTGCAGAGCGTTAAAAAATTATGTTGGAAATCACCGCTATTTTCATTTTTTGAACGTTGTTGACTGAGCCGCATGTTGGCAGCCTCACTGATTAACCAGCCATTTAGCAAAAAGCTTAAAATTTTACAAATTGGCGGTCTTTCGGGAAAAATGTGGTACAAAACAAGTGAATTCGAAGCTTTTTCCGTTCCTAAAACATTTCGTCTAGCCGTATTAATTTATTTCCAGGTAAGCTAATGTGCAGCTACCTCATCATTGTCATTGAAATTAATTACAAAAATTTCAGCTAAATCGCTCACTTTTCCCATACGTGTTCCATTCAATAAGAGCTAAAAGAACTGAGGAAAGAATTTACCTGCTTTTGTTCGACCGTTTGCTATTAAATTCTGGAGTTGGCATTACCTTGGCATGCATAAGCCGGAACTCGGCCTTTGCGGGCTTCGATAATCCGGCATCTCTTGTTGGTTGGAAGCCGCAGCGTAATGCGCATTAGCGGCTAATGAGTGGAACTGACGATAACGATGTTTGATAGCTAATCTGCCACGCAATTACGAAGCTCTTCCACTTAAATAGCGATCACGTGTCACGCATGAACTGATCTTTTGGGAAGGGATGCCCAAATGGACTGAAACTCGCGTTTCGTTTTCATTAATATACCGCCAGTCTGACGCCCCCAAGACAGTAATTGTCAACTTTTAGGTTGTGTTTGGTTCCATTCGCTTTCTTTATAACAAGAACTTCCAAGAATTTTTGAGCGCTGTGCGGTCAATTATGAACTTTGGGCGCTTGTGTTCCCATAGAGGGCGCGTGTACCCAGACGTGTACTTTTACAGAGAATAAAGTAGAAGTGATGGAAATTTCGAAAGGAGAAGTTACTTGAAAATTCAGTGCCAAAGGATTTCATGCTAGAGTTCTTTCTTAGAATTAATTCATTGCAAGCGAAATGAAAGTTACGTGCCTCGTTGTTAGACTGTCGCACAAAGGATAACGAATGGAATATCGTCCATGTCAGTGATCTATACTAATTTAATCTCTTCAGTTCTCACCCCAAAATTCACGTGCGCCACAAAACAATGAAAAATGTCTTCTCCATGATTCTAAAATAAACGGCAAATTAGTTTTATAATGACGTTGCGATGGTGTCGGAAATGAATAATTCTGCAGGATAGGCCTTAAGCATGGCTAAGGTTTGTAAGAGGTTGCTATGATGTTACAAGGTTTACGCTAAGGTTTACAAGAGGCCATCTTCATCGGCGTATTGTGCCCAACATGCGCCCTAGATCTTGTAAGCGACCTATTTTCTGGCAAAACAAAGCACCTCGCCACAAAGCTGAGGGGATATGATGGCTCTTTTGGAAGGAGATGGAATTGCTGTGATGAGCTGGCCAGCTCAGAGCCTCTATGTTTACCTGAACCCCTTTGCAGATGTGAAGAATATCATCGCAAACAGGCCTTATGGTGGAAGCTCACGAGATGAATAACATGGATTGGATTAACGTAAAGGAAGACACACAGTGAATGTTTTTTGTCGCATTCTGCATAAGTTATTTGTTGAAGTACATAATAGGATAAATTGAAAGTGATGGAGATTCTGCAAAACAGTTACTATTTGATGTAGTAACATACTAAGCAGGAGTGAAAAAAATGAAAATGTTCTATGTTTTTAGTATTTTTTTTCACTTGTAGATTTCTATCTATATTCCATTTAAGTTATTGCTGTTGAGTTCAACTTTTTCGACTATAAAAACTATTCGCTAAAGTTGTGAAACTTCTTACACAATTATGGCAAAATATTATTTTTCTATATTATTATCTTTGCAAAAATATGATTAATTACTTACTACGAAGAAAAAATTTATTCGGATGTAATAAGTAGGTAATTCTGGAAAATTTGTATCGATATTGGACCATGGAATCAGCCGAAGCAGGCGGATGGCACCTGGTTAACGAAAAACGGCCCTTGTCTGGCACTGTTAAATCTGTTAGTTTTGAGAAAGTTTTCTTAAAGTTCATAAAATTCGGACTCTCTTCCCTTTCTTATTGCCTAATATTCTCAAAATAAGCAGCAAGTATTCAGAACACATTTTTTAACATGCCACTTTCACGTGAGCTCGTTGCCGTCGTGCGGGGTTGGTATAGGCGTCAGTTGAGGTGCCCCTATTATATAGCAGCGCTCTCGCAAGTATACATGACACAGGGATTGAGAAATACATACTACACAGCAAGTACACACTACACACTAAGTACACACTACACAGGGATTGAGATGCGTACGCATATGTTTACCGAGCACTTATTTTGCATGCCTGAGAAATACTCAAAGCCAGAGACACTCGGCTTGCGCCTGAGCTTTGAGGTGAGAAGCTCCGAGCTGCTGGCAACTCGAAACAGTGGAATATATTATAACTTGCGCCGTGATTTACAATCAAAATATTTTTTGCTTTGACTTTTGCCCAAAATTGTTAGTATAAAGAAAGGTATTCATTTATGTACAAAGCAAGCAATTTCTGGTCGAAATATTTTTTCTTTTGTTTTTAATATTCAAGAGCCCAATTCCACAGTGACACCTCTTCCCAGAGTATAATTCGTAATGCAAGCAATCAAATTTGAACTTTATAGGCACCAACGTTGTCAAGAAACTGTATTGACATTAACGTCTGGTTTAAGGCCATGCCTTCTTTTGCCGAGTAGAACTTCCGTGCGCAAACAGGACTTTGACAATGTGTGAATTCTGCACTAATGAACTGTGTTGAAAACATTCTTTCCAGTTCTAAAATTTCGGTTAGTTAGTAACGTAAAATATCACTGGTGCTCCGATACAGTGCTTCGGCCGAGTTTGCATCGCCCAGAAAATTTAAGACCGTTAAAAACTCGAAATGGGTTTTCACTTTATATTTTAATAATTAATTCATATTCATGAATCAAGCCGTCAGTGGTGGACGATAAATTATCGCTAGAGGTGGTTTTATTTGTTTCAAAATGTTGGTTAAAGGTTTCGCGGAAGCAATGTCCTCCGAGCCCGAAATTCAATAACTTACGATAGGCATCGTAGTCCAATGGTAGAAAGTTTCAATATGGACGGCTGCTGAGGTTGTTTGATGTGACGACGGACTAGATGTTACGTAGATATCTCGAAAGAACGATGAAAAGACCAATATCATTCCCTTTAGAGTTCAAGTTTCATAATTTATTTTTTTGCGTTCATGCCCTAATTCGAGACATCTACGTTTTTTCTTCGTGTCCAGGTGCAAGTGATGTATTTTTCTCTATACCCAGGGTCAAATAATGTCGAGAGTCACTATTTCTCATGTTCAGGTTCGTTTCTTTATATCCAAAGTCGAGTGATCAACTTTTTCTCATGTTCAGGTTCGTTTCTTTCTATCCAAAGTCGAGTGATCCACTTTTTTTTCTCATGTTCAGGTTCGTTTCTTTACATCCAAAGTCGAGTGATCCACTTTGTTTCATGTTCAAGTTCGTTTCTTTCTATCCAGAGTCGAGTGATGCACTTTTTCTCATGTTCAGGTTCGTTTCTTTTTATCCAGGGTCGAGTTATGCACTTCTTTTCTCATGTTCAGGTTCGCGTGATGGACGATGGGATGCCAGATTGGCAGTGCAGCAGCGAAGTTCGCGTCGTGCTGAGTGACGTCAACGACAACCCACCTGCGTTCGACCGCCCCACCTACCAAGTTAACGTACCAGAAAACTCACCGGGAGCGCGCCTGCTTACTCGAGTCTATGCCTCAGACGCTGACTCAGGTAAATTTTGGTCTACATATGTTTAGGTGAGGGAGTACTGATACTGAACAGGGTTACATTTTTAGATCGGGTATTTTTTAAATCCATTGATACAAAACTCATTGACGAATGAAACATTATCCAGATGTGCTCCGTGAACAATCATAAAACCACGTTATTGTATGAATTAAATTTTGAATATTCTTGGTAGAGAGTTTATGCTATCACTAAGAAATAAAATACCCTACGAAAGATTTGAATTTCCAGCACCAAATACAAATAAAAATTTTACCCGACAATTGTCCACCATTTAACTTTTTCTTCATCTTTCTCTTGAGGTGTAAACCAGCGCGTATCCTACTACCTGGTGGACTCGTCAAGCATCATCTCATCATCCTTCTCCCGCACCCGCGACGGCCTCTTCGAGCTGGACTCCGTGACGGGGATCCTGCGGGTGACGAGGACGCTGGACCGCGAGCAGCAAGCCTCCTACAACCTCACCGTCGAGGCCAGGGACCAGGGGACGCCACCGCTCTCGTCGCGCGCATCCGTCATTGTTACTGTCAGTGGTCAGTGCTCAGCTCTTTCTTGTCCAATAAATTCTGCATTTGTGGCTGGAAGAACGCTATAAGTTAAAAGAACAATATATAAACGTTTATATATATTTATATATTGGATATTTAAAAGATATATCCAATAAATTGTGCATTTCTGGCTGGAAGAACGCTGTGAGTTAAAAGAATAATGTTTAAACGCTTATATATATTTATATATTGGATATATAAACATATATCCAGTAAATTGTGGATATGTGGCTAGAAGAACGCTATAAGTTAAAATAAAAGTATATAAACGTTTATATATATTTATATATTAGATATCTATAAAACCCATGCAATAAATTGTGGATTTGTGGCTGGAAGAACGCTATAAGTTAAAAAAGAATTTTACAATGGTTATATATATTTATAAATTGGATATATAAAAAATATATCTAATAAATTGTGGATTTGTGGCTAGAAGAACGCTGTAATTAAGTCAAAAAAAAATATATAAACATTTATATATATTTATATATTGGATACCTAAAAATATATCCAATAAATTGTGGATTTGGGGCTGGAAGAACGCTATAAGTTAAAATGAAAATATATAAACGTTATCTTTTTAGCGCGCTTTCTCATTTATGGAAAAAAGGCGCTCTTGTTTTTGAGTTGATAAATCAAAACTATTTATGCTAATATCATCGTAATTATATATTTACTTTTAAACTTACTGGATGAATTTTCAAAATTATACTCTGAAGGTGGTGGAAGAATTTTGGTACAAGTAGCGGAGTATATTCTTTACCGAATTAACTAAGGGTAAGAATTTCTAGAATGAGCATGATGCAAAAGCTACGTGCTGTCGGGGAAAAATACTTTGCGATGTCATAATATTGACATTAAATATATTGGAAATCCATTCATTGTTTACCACGAGTTTGCGTACGTGGCCGATAAGAATTTTGGTTAAGAACAGTCGGACAAAAATTAATTTATTAATAAAAATATAGATATATACCGCAATTCCTTTGCGTTACGAGCAGATGTAGGAAATAAGAGTTGTTGTGTAAAGTATGAGCAGACGCCTGTATAATATGAGCAGGTGTATGAAATATATTTGAGATGTTGGAAAGATGTACAGATGTATGAACTATGACCAGATGTATGAACTATGACCAAATGCATGAACTATGACCAGATGTGTGAACTATGACCAGATTTATGATATATAAGCTGATGCGTGAAATAAATCTTAATGAAATTTCTACGTGTTTTATGCTAGTGTTACATCGTCAGTTTCTTGCTTGTTCATTACCGCCTATCGATGTTCATAAATGAATATACTATGGATTACCTCTACGAATCTAACGTTGAGCTTTTAAGCATGAAGAGAATTTTAATTTCGGCACACAGCACACTGTAGGAATCTTATTGATGTTTCGCACGCAAAATTTCCATTTGCTGCAATAATCTAACCTTAACGTTATTTCTGTCGCTAAAAGGAAATCTGTTACCATTATTTGATCATCGTATCATATTTCCTTTTATCATCGTGATCAACCACGCGAAACCACTTTGTCCGAAATTTAAATTTCGAATCGTACTTGGATGTTTTTAAATCAGCCACTGCATTGATATGAAATATCAGTGCAGTGAAAAGCCACTGCATTGATATGAAATATCGGTGCACTGGAAAGCCACTGCATTGATATGAAGTATCAGTGCGGTGAAAAGCCACTGCATTGATATGAAATATCAGTGNGAGTGGCTCCTTGAAGGCGTCCAGCAACAGGCGCTCAGCATTGACACGCACACGGGTGAGTGGCGCCTTGAAGGCGGATTCTCCTCGACCGCTTTATGATCATCGATCAATTATTATATTACTAATTATCACATGCAATTATTTTATGGGAACCTGTAGCTCATCTCTATAATATAGCCTTGTTTTTCTAGTAAAATTGCAATCAATTCAATGGAGGAATATATGCATTCTAATGTGAGAACATTAGCACACAATTTTGTATCACTTCGGATGTATGATGAAATTATTATTGCGTTATTAAATGTACAGTTTATTATTAGAAGTAACACAAATGTACAGAGCGAGAGCCGGGCTCTCGTTCTCAGCTCCAAGAGGCCTCTTAGGCAGCAGTTGTACTTCGTGTAGGAGATCATGAGATGGAATTGACAAATTGTTCGTACTAATAAATACGTAACAATCGAACACACTTAATCGTGTTTCGGGCATAATCAAATTTGAACATTTTTTTATTGTTTATTTTACCTGCCGCGAGTATTTTATTTAGCAATTACCTGGTTAGTTATAGTTAAGGCTAATTAATTGCTTGATATCTAGAAATATTTAAGCGAGTTTGTACAAGTTATAACGATATGTTAGCTTTGTTTCAAAGACGATGAGGAATCGACTGCATGATGTAGTGGACATCATCAGATCTATTGTTTTCATGCCAAGATGAGTTCCTCATGCTTTTAATTAGAAGTGTTTCAGGATTCTATAATCACTAATTAATTAATTGGAATAATTTAATTACATTCCCCTTAGTACCGAACATCAGAATAGAATAACTATAGGTAGGCCGAAGTTGTCGAGTTTCTTTTATGAAATTCAAGTGAATACTGCACTAATTTTTGCCTGGACAAAGATTTTTGAATCCGACTTTTCCATTGCGTTTAATCGCATAGATTTGTTTGTAATATCGCATAGATTTTCTTACAAATATTGCTGTTTAATTTGCCAATTTAATGAATCTTCGAACTTTCTAATCTCCAGTATTGTCTGTCGGTTCGAAAATCCTAACAATGTTCTTAAAACTGTGAAAGCAAACATTACGAATTTTTTATTTCGAATTCATTGGCGAAATTGTCATTTTGTCCGCATTGCTGACGATCAGAGACTTACTTATTCAGCACGTTTTGCCTGCTCTTCCGCGGTAAAGTTTGAACTGAAAAAATTGTAAGTTTGTAATTGAAAAAAAAAATCCCAGAAAATGATGAGAAAACATAATTCCTTCTTAATATAAACATTTGTGGTACTGAACAAATGCTTGTCAATTCTGTTCGGACATATATGCTAATGATCGTTAAAATAACTGAATTATTTAATAATAGAATCGACCTATCAGCAGTCGAGAAAACAAATATTTATTTTCTTGAATTTCGAACTGATAATTAGAATAGTCTCTGAAATGGTCACAATGAAAAAACAGTGTTTTTAGTTTTTTATTATATTTTATTGCATTTCCTTACAAATTTGTTTATTAATCAATCATATAATCTTGGTTACATTTCTTAATTTAATATAAAATTCTTCGAAACTTCAGCACATCGTATTCGCACTCCACTGTCAAACAATCGAGACTGTTGAGATTTCATGTCATATTTCGTCTTATATGCAAATTTAAGCCACTATTGCCTCAATACTTAAAGTCTTGCCATGTTCATCACATCTCCCCGCCTCAAAACTCATTCAACTTCGAGACGCGAGATTTTAAGGCAGACTGCTCCACGTTTTAGGAACGGTATGATTCACTGTGACCTGTTCTGTAAGAGAAAACTTTCTTTCATATTTATTCGAAAGTTTTGAGCTCTGTCTGACCTTATCAGTGCCGTACCTTTTCCCGACCGCTGGACCTTGCGAAGTGGCGGACACTTTTTATGTTCCGGTGGCACCGGCGTTTCATTTATTTTGGGACGCATTTTCGTTTCCCCGAATTTATGATTGCAGTCTTGGATTTTACGCACCATTTCGCTTATTTTTCAGCAATTTATTTAGGTTTATTGTAACTCATCTTTTGATGCTTTTGTCGTTCATTAACATTAATCAAAATCGTTTGTGTAGGAAATTCAGCATGGAATAGTATGCTTCGAGTCAGCGAAACTAAGAATAGAATTTCTTCCATTCAGTATGCTTGTTAATCTCTTACTTTAGGAACAACTTGATAACACAGGCTTACAAACTTGTGACGCAGATTCCTCCTCATGATTCATGGCGTGATCTTTAAACCCTTCCCTGTGAAAAATTACACAAAATATAATTGTAAATGACTTTCTTGTTGGCTAGTCCTTTGGGAACGTTTACTGAACTATTCAAAGACGCGCCATCATAGCAGGATAAAAAACGAGTGTTCCACGATGTACGGTTTCTAGAAAGAAAATGACAAATATGCATAAGATAAATATACAATAAAAAGGAGACGCTATTTACGTGAAATAATATATGAACCAAGATAAGAAAATAATTAAACGGAATAATCAATAATACACGAAAACAAATGATAAATCGAACGAACCGAATAGCTTGGTTCCTCTTGTAGTGCAGGCATCCGTATATCAACGGCTAACAATTAATGAATGAATGCTGTGATGCTTGTGAAATCAACTGCGTCGAGGAGGCTAATTCTATTGCTAACAAGTTTCAGAAAAAGGGAAGATGGCGGCTACAATAATGGATCGAAATAGTGGTATATAATTGTGGACTTCAATTAACTACAGATTCACTAAAGTTAATTAATGACACAGTAAACCCTCATAATATCGCGCTTCTCGTACTGTGACTTCATTTCATCGTGGGTTCCGGAGAAAATCGATCGCACGGTTTTTAATTAATATCTTAATTTATTTATTCTCAATAATGAAAACCTACCAAACAATTGTCATGTAAATCCTCAATTAAGTGCAGTCAGGCGATCAACTGCCCATCTCGGATTTCACTTGTTGCGGCCGAGCTATGGTAACCAGTAATATGTGAAGCATTTCTTTACATTAATGTGCCGAACTGGGCCTCGAAATAACATCTCGAAAACAAAATCCACAACAGAAAATCCGCTATAATTGACTGTGCAGCAAGAATTAATTATTACCTCTTTAATATTTCAAAATTTTGTTAAGTCCTTTCAACTCAAGCATTCAACTCTTTCGTTTAAAATTAATTGATACCGAATCTATCATCATTTAATGAAGCGTGAATAACTGACAATGCGCCCCTGTCCGCGGCAGAGGCGATCAGATTTTCCTTTAGTATTGTGTTGCGGTTGAATATTCATGAATCATAATTATTCACTTGATACACAGAATCTGTGAAAATTTTGAAATTCATTTAAATTCTCTTAGTCTAGCAAAAAAACGTATATCATAGCTGCCAGAGTTACAGCTTTCTGCGTCTCTGTCATGACGCTTCACCTATGCTCACCTTTAAACCAGGCACTTCAGTCTGACATCACGTATTCCAAATATTGACACTGAATCCTGTTTAAAGATTTCTTAATTCACTTGACTGACGAATAGAACCCTGAATATTTTTTTAATAGAAATTTTTACACATTATAAATAAAGTAAGTTTGATGTCTAAGTTTCATTATCAATGCACGTACACTGTAAGAAGTTATGGGTTTATACGGGATGGAATGCATTCGTCTGCGCTATAATACGCGCTCAAAACGCATTTTTGAAATTGCCGCATTAACTCGCCGTTGATTAACTCACCACTTCTAATTGTTGATGAGTTTTCTCTGACTCATTGAATTTTTTGTTCCATTTTAATCTAAAATCACTGGTACATATTTTTGAATTGTTTTAGTTCCTAAGTAAAACGAAGTAAAGTAGACGAAAAGTTTGAGCTAATAATTCGTTTTTATTCCCGAAATATTTTCATCGTCTTTTTGAACAAACCTGAATAAATTGCAGCGCTCTTACGAAATTTGTAACAATTTTGCAAGAGATTTTGGCATAAATAAATAATTCAGATCATGAAACCGTCCCGAATGTCGTTTAATTTGCAACTTGCTCTTCAGATTTATAAGTCTAGAATCCTTTCTTCAATCGAATGGTACTTCAATCATACTTTTATTTAATGTCTTTACCGTTAAATTTCTACTGAATTATGTTAGCGGTTTCATTAAGAATCGACATAAATGGTTTTCGGATAAAATTATTACTCAACCGAATTCTCTCTCCGCATAAAAAATGTATAAATTAGGACCCAACCAATTTCATATATAACCTGAACAACCAACAAATGCTTGAATTCCTAGAACACTTCAAGTATATTCGCGCATTAATGCAAGTCCCGCGAGAATTATAAGCACCGCTACAATTTATTAAAAGCTTTCTCGAAGAAATTTTGATCATTTTTCCTCAGTGAACAAGATTGCTCTGCAGAGTCTGCACGGTACCGCTGCTCTGCATGTGAGCGTCTCGGCCATCTCGGTAATTTTCAATCCCCGGAGATGGAAGTTTATGTTGCCCGAACATGAGCAGTTTTGGCTGATCTTTGAGGTCTTAGCAACATTTTTTACACTCAAGCGGATGTCGGTACAAATTTAAATTCCTTAAAAATCTATTTCTTTCATGTTAGTCCAGTATGAGAATTTATTCCTTTACGTAATAGTCCAGTATGAGTATGCATTTTTGACTTTCTTAATTTATATGATAGTCCAGTATGTGGATGCATGTTTCATGAAGCGGTTAGGTGCTGTTATTGGTTTCGATTTTTATTTAACTGGTTTTCTGGAATATATCCTGCTTGCGCATATCAATGCTCGAACTGAGCCCAAAAAATTTCTCGTGTGGCCACCAAACGTAAAAAACTTGTTTTTGTGAAGCAATGGTTAACACTTTCGCTGCATTATTAACTCAATATTGTTCATGAATCCCATTGACCAGATGAGGTTACATGAGGAGTGTTACTCTTACTGGCACTCTTTTGTCTTTTTTAAAAAGCTTTTATAAATTTTTTTTCAGTTGCAAAATATTGAAAACATTTGAAAGATTAATTATTCGGTTCGTGACTTTCGGAATA